AAATCTCACAGTATTACAGCTTTACTTTTTATTTTCCTTTTGCGGGCAGATGCTTCATGGAAAACATGTCATGGTTCGCGTTGGTGGAGGCTGGGATACTCTTCAGGGATTTTTGCTTAAATATGACCCCTGTCGAATATTACAGTTTGCCACACTGGAACAAAAAATTTTAGCATTTCAAAAAGGAGTTTCTAATGAAAGTGTACCTGATGCGCCCGCCAGAACACCTCAGCCTCCTGAAATGAATCCTTTGTCAGCAGTTAACATGTTTCAGAAACAAAATTCAAAACCCAGCATGCCAGTTCGTATTCCAAAAAGCAAGGAAAAACAGGGACGTCCACCAGGTGCATTGGTGCCACCATCTTCACTGAAAGGAGCTAATCTGGGCCCTATGTCAGTCCGTTCTAAATCGCCACATTCTCCCGCAGCATCGTCTCATCCCAAGCTCAAGTCTTCAAGAGGCATAACAAAGAAACCACAGCCTCCTTCAAACAATGCATCATCTTCACTTGCTTCATTAAATCCAGTAGGTAAAAACACTTCTTCACCAGCTTTACCAAGAACTGCACCTTGTATATCTGAGTCACCAAGAAAATGTATTGCATCCCCCAGTACCCCTAAGGCCAAGGTTATTCCAGCCCAGAATTCAACAGATCTGCCTGAGTCCACACTTTTGCCAAATAAGTGTTCTGGAAAAACTCAACCTAAGTATTTGAAACATAATCATATTTCTTCCAGAGATAGTGCAGTATTTCACTTAGCTGCACATTCAAATTCATCCTCAAAGTGTCCCAAGCTACCTAAAGCAAATACACCTGTAAGACCTAAACCTTCTTTCCAGTCCTCTGCAAAAATGACGAAATCCAGTTCCAAAAACATAGCCACGGGTCTAGGAACACAGTCTCAACCATCCGATGGTGCCCCACAAGCAAGGCCAGTCCCAGCACAGAAACTTAAATCGGCCTTGAATTTAAATCAGCCAGTTTCTGTGTCCTCAGTTTCTCCTGGAAAAGCTACACAGAAATCAAAAGATAAGAATATAGTTTCAGTTACCAAAAAGCAGCCTCAGAATAAAAGTACTTTTCAGAAGACAGAACCCAGCTCCTCGAAGTCTCCTGGCAGGACCCCATTGTCCATCGTGAGCCTTCCCCAGTCTTCTACCAAAACACAAACTGCGCCGAAGGCAGCACAGACTGTTGCTAAGGGCCAGCATTCAACTAAAGGGCCTCCCAAAAGTGGCAAAACCCCAGCTTCAACCAGGAAACCACCCTTATCTGTTAAGGATGCAGATAGTGGAGATAAAAAACCTACTGCAAAGAAAAAGGAAGATGATGACCATTATTTCGTCATGACCGGAAGTAAGAAACCTAGAAAATAAATACATAGTCATTATAAAAAAAGAGAAAAAGAAGAGTGAATGTGTTAGCTTCACATCTTAAAAGTTTCTCCTGTTTGTGTCTGTCTAAATAGGTGCAGACACTAAGGATAGTGAGGATGGAGGTTGGGATGAGGAAAGGGTTCATCAGACTTCACATATCTGAATTCAGAAGGAGCCCTTCTGAAGCAAACAGTTGTAAAATCACTGCAAGGTTTTTATTAATAAGAGACATGTATATGATTTTCAGTCTATAGCATCTTTGTTAACATCTGCCTGTTGCAGGAAATGTAAAAGTTACTTAACACTACAAGAATTTTAACAATAGTTGCTCTATTTTTGAATATGTATTAAATATGGAGTTCATATACCTGCTAATACCAACGATGGTGCTCTTACTATTAGGTCATTGCATTTTGGTTTTTTTAAAAAAAAAAACAAAAAAAAACAACGGTTTGGCACTTGTCCCACAAAAGGCATCTAATTTAATGTTCTGATCAGAATTGCCTGATCCAACAATACTAAGTCATGACTGCTGCTGACTAGCTTGGCATTACTCTGTGTTAGGTAGAATTCTTATTATTTATTTTTTTAAGCTTTCCAAATCGGAAGGAACTGATTGTTTCACGTGGCTTATATTTACATTGGTAGTATTTTGTCAGCAATATTTTTGGTAAAAAAAAAAACAGCAAATTAACTTACTGAAGTATAAACGTTAACAATTTTTTATATTATCTATAAAAACTTAGACACCTTATATTTCACATGTTGTGCAATGTGACGGGAAACTGGTTTAGTAGCTTTTAGCATATTAAAAATAATTTTTATAATGTAATTTCCTATAAGTGCAGATCTGACATTTTACATTACAATAATGTGAAACATCAGAATTATGTTTTAACAACTTTAAAATTAAGATGCTACTGAAATAATTTAGTTACGCTATGTAAAAATTGTATCATGAAATTCTACCATGAAAAATTCTTTAAAAAATTAAAGAATTTTTCTCTAGATAGCATAATACCAATTTTAATTAATTTCTTCCAACTAGGTTAATTTTCTTTAATAAAATTATGCTGCCTTCAGTTTTCCAATGGCAAGTAGACAAGATATGTTCAAGGTTTTCTGCACGGTAGGCACACACCCTCAAGAGGCATATCCCGATCATGTAATGACTGCATAAACTCCATCGACCTAAGGTGATACTTGTAAATAATTTATTTTTAAGGGATGGTGACTATTTAAAAATTGTTAATGTACTTTGAGAAGTTTTAAGAGTGTTTTTAATAACTTTACAGTATTGTCAATTATAGGTTATTCAGTATTCAGGTTTGTGTTTCTCTGTTTTAAACTAAAATGTGTTTTCTAAAGAAAAATATAATAGTTTACACAAATGTACAATCATAGAGTAAGCATTTTAAGCTGGCTACTAATGTTCTAGAGATTACAAAGCAAGAAAATTTTCCATAAAGATAAGTGATCTTTTGCCTGAAGAGTACAGATAAAAAACAAAGATGTGTGCAGGCAAAGATGAGTGCAAGGGAGAACTGATGCTTCTCTTCTTTAAAGAGACAGTCACCAAATACTTGGTTTAGCTCGACTGTTGACTTGGGCATTGAGAGAGATGATAGATACATCTTTGGAAAGTGAAATCAATGTTCAAGAGGTGCTAGAAGCTTTACTTTTTAGTGATCAGAAATATTTAATGCATCTTTTCAGACAGGAAGAATTCTATCAAGTATTCCCTTATAAAACCAAATAACACTTCTTCATCAGTAACTTTTAGAACTTAAAGCAAAATGTAAATGGAATTGTAGTCAACCTATGAATCCTAGTAGATTTTACAATATGTAATTTATGTTGTTTACAGTATATAAACACTAAGGTTTGTGTTGAATGTGATCAGGAATAAAAGTATCCCACAGGCATCTGACAAAAATTCCAGAATTAACCAAAGAATTATTTATTTGAGGTCGGGCAATCCCAGCATTTTGGGAAGCTAAGGTGGGTGGATCACGAAGTCAAGAGTTCGAAACTAGCCTGACCAACATGGTGAAGCCTCTTCTCTACTAAAAATACAAAATTAGCTGGGCGTGGTGGCACATGCCTGTAATCCCAGCTACTCAGGAGGCTGAGGCAGGAGAATCGCTTGAACCCGGGAGACGGAGGTTGCAGTGAGCTGAGATTGCACCACTGCACTCCAGCCTGGGTGACAGAGAGACTCCATCTCAAGAAAAAAGAAAAAAAAAGGTTTATTTGAATAATTGGAAGTCAGTTTATACATTACTATGTTTCAACAGTAGGGAATTTCTCCAATTACATTCATGTTGAATGAATTTTTATTTATATGTAGCTTACCCTTCCAAAATAAAAGTGGGTTTTGTTTTGTTTTGGTGTTGTTTTGTTTTGTTTTGTTTTGTTTTTTGAGATGGAGTTTCGCTCTTGTTGCCCAGACTGGAATACAGTGGCACAATCTCAGCTCACTGCAACCGCTGCCTCCTGGGTTCAAGCGATTCTCCTGCCTTAGCCTCCTGAGTGGTTGGGGTTACAGGCATCCACCACCAGGCCCAGGTAATTTTTTTTGTATTTTCAGTAGAGATGGAGTTTCACCATGTCGGTCAGGCTGATCTTGAACTGCTGACTGCAGGTGATCCACCTGCCTGGGCCTCCCAAAGTGCTGGGATTACAGGCATGAGCCATCACGCCTGTGGAAAAGTTTTGTTTGAATAAACAATATCCGAAAGACAATTAGTTTCTTCAGATATATTTTGAAATTCTCCTAGAGAGCTAGTGTTTCTAATAATTTTCACAATTTAAAAACAGCTTTTACACTGTTGAAGTTGGGAAAACTTTCCATCTCTTCTTAATAGTGCAAGATATTGTAAATTCTTTTCTGTGTTTAATGTTTAATGAAATGAGTATTAAACTTAAATTACTGAAGTACCTGGGAGAAGTAATGATGTGTACTTTCAAAAAAATGGAAAATGTTTTTATTTTTATTTGCTATAATTTGTTAACATGACTGATACGTAAAATTAAACTTTGGAGCACAATGAAATGCCGCTTATTTTTACCTTGTTTGGGCTTAAAGTAGGTATTTAACGTTTATGTCTTCAAAATGCCTTGATAAATTAGATAACCTCTGACTTTACTGTCCATATGGAGTTTGCCATTCTTTATGGATAAGAGAATTTAAGGAAAAATTACTATTCTTTCTTCAGTCTTTTTATATCTATCTGATTTAAAATCTGTTACTTTATTAAAAGGCTTCAACAGGTTGTTAGGATGTATTCTTACATGTAAGAATAGGATGTATTCTTACATGTAAGAATAGGATGTATTCTTACATGTAAGAATAGGATGTATTCTTACATCCTAACAACCTGTTAGGTTCACACAATGACCCCATTTGAATCCAAATTTGTGTATATTCTTTTCTTATGCCAGCAGTATTTGCATACTGTTTTAACTTACGTTTGTTCTCTTGAGTATTAAAATTTAAACATATATACCAAGGTCTCAGTTTCTTTTTTGGAGTATTCTGAATACACTGTGATCACTTAATTCATGTTGGAAATTGCATATAGGAAGCATTCATAATTTGAGAAGAATACTATTTAAAATGCTTTCTTTATATTTGTGGAATTTATTTCACTGCACCCAGGAGATTATAAGACTTTGTCATTAATCAACAGTATTTCTTCCCCAAGTTGCTGTATATGCTGGATGTTTGTTCCAGAAAGACCAGACTCAACGTTTAATAATCTTTGAGATAATAGAGATAATTTGTTGGTTATCAAGGTAGAATTCTATAGATCATACAAGCATCGTGTTCACTAAAGATGACTGATAGTAGGAATTTCCAATTTTCAATTCCTGTAATCCTGTTTTAATTTCACACTTTGATACAGTGAATATATTCTTGCATACTCATCTTTTTCCTATATTCATGACCAGAGCAATTATAAAAAGCAGTTAATTCCATATATATTTCCTGTGATGTTTCCAAAAAAGGAAAGAAAAACAGCTTAGACAAAATTTTAATTATATTTTCCTAACCCTTTGTGAATGTAAAATTTTATAACCTAAAATTCATTTTATGAAATTTTGGGTAACATTGGGAAAGTTATTTATTTATTTATTTATTTATTTATTTATTTATTTATTTTTATTGAGACGGAGTCTAGCTCTGTCACCCAGGCTGCAGTGCGATGGCACAATCTCGGCTCACTGCAACCTCCACTTCCCAGGTTCAAGTGATTCTCCTGTCTCAGCCTCCCCAGTAGCTGGGGTTAGAGGCGTGTGCCATCACGCCTGGCTAATTTTTTGTGTTTTAGTAGAGATGGGGTTTCACCATGTTGCCCAGGCTGGTCTCGAACTCCTGAGCTCAAGCAATCCACCCACCTCAGCCTCCCAAAGTGCTAGGATTACAGGCGTGAGCCACCGTGCCCAGCCTGGGAAAATATTTAAAATGTGCCAGTAAGTCTGAAAATATAAAGGCACACATTTTATTAAATTTAAGCTGTTTTCTTACACTGTTTTGTTCTTGTAGAAAAACACAGTAAGACGAGGAAATAGTACATGCAAAGATTTGGTTATAAGGATATTAATTATAGAATATTAATATTGGTATAGCTATAAAATAAGAGTCATTAAAAACATTGTAGACGATGACTTAAAAGTAGTACATATGGTGATGAAGTGGTTTGTTTTGAGAAACTGCAGTGATAAAACATTATTACGTAATATTTCTTCTGCATTCAGCCAGGAATAGCACAGTACTTGTTACATCGTATATGGGCTCAATAAAGGTTATCTATTAACCTCTTGTGGGCAGTCTTTTAGTGTTTCATATCATACATTAATATGATTTTCTTAAATTAGGTAAATTATTATTGGAATGAACAAATAGAATAGAATGAATTAGAGTTGCGTATGACTGTTGACTTCTAGTAGTGAAATGTGGCAGTGTTAAAACTCTAGTTAATCTACTCAAACCATCATTTTTATTAATACCTACTGATTTCTATTCTGGAAGATAGAGGAATAAGTCATATTCAAGAACCTTGGATTTATATAGCACTTTGCAAGTCACAAAATACTTGTAATTACATAATATGCAATCTTTCCAACAATTCCATGAGATGGGTATTATCATTAGAATGTAAGCACCAGGAAGGTAAGAATTACATCTGTTTTGTTTACCACTGTGCTCCCAAAGCCCAAACCAGTCCCTGGCACTTGGTAGGCATTCAGTAACTCTTTGTTAATAAATGAATGAACTCCCTTTTTACAGAGGAGGAAACTAAGGCTCAAGAAAGTTGTTAGTCAATATAAAAATACCTACTGGGATAGATTAATTGGATTTTATTTAAAGGATGATTTTTTTAAAGCTATTTATACTTTTCCACAAAGTTGTTGAGTTGTTCTCCATGTTAATATCCAGAAATAGGACTTACGTAGCATATTTAAAAAACATCTGGAATATCACCTCTCGCTTTTTATTTCTTGGAAAAATCTTTGTTTTTGAATTACCCTTTATTAAATATTGTAAACTTGAAGATTTAGAGATTAGCATATTCTTACATTTTCTAGTTTAATATTTATAAATCATTGTGTACAAAGCATTGTTCTTGGAACAGTGAAATATTGCATTCAGTCCCAGGACAATACAATAAAGGTGCTCTGTAAATATTTGGTGGATAAATGAACGAGAAAAAAGTTAAATCTAGCACAAAATGCTTATGTGATATTGGCAATTAAAATAAATTTTCTGACAGTGCAATGGAAATAGACATTGATCAAAGTTACTGTAAGTAACCCTAGAACCTCCTTAAAAAAAAAAAAAAAAGTTTAAAAATAAATGATTGTCCTCTGAGCAGGTTTCATATGCTTCGCCCAAAAGAAAAAAATGTAAATTTCTCTCACATAGCCTTGAAGATGTGATACAAAGTTGTATTATGTAGATCCCTTAATAATTCATTGCACCATGTTAGACATGCCGGAGTCTAATAACTAATGGTTGAATAATAGGTTCAC